TGTATGAAGGGTTAAAATTTTTTGTTATAAAATATACAAATGATCATAAAACCATGTAAATGTAAAATTTCATTTATTAGCTAGCCAAATTAATATATATATATATATATATATGTGTGTGTGTGTGTTAATATTATTTATTAATTAGATTTACTTATATAAAAGGATTGTAAATAAAAATATGATTATTTTATTTAAGTATTTGCTCTAAATTAACTGTATATACAAGAGTTACAGATTTTTAAATTATTCAATATATATATATATATATATATATATATATATATATATATATTTATTATTTTATAATATATAAAAAATACAAAATAAAAAATAATACATAAAATAATTTCTATATATAAATTTTATCCCGCAAATGCACGGATATTAACCTAGTTAGCATAGTATTTTTAATTGCTATTCGTTTTAATGAGCAACTGGAAAAACAAAACTCTTAATTTCAACAACAAAACAAAAAAATAGTGAAATTTTAAACAACTATTACAATTAAGATTAAAATAACTTTAAATGAAAGGTTAGTTTATTGCTTGGTTTTGAAAGTTCAAGTTTATTACACTTTCAAAATGCGGAAATAAACTTTTAGTTATAATTTTTATATAATGAGATCTTGTATTTACGTTTAATATGCAGGATAATATCTTTAACTTTCCGTGTATATCTCTGAGAAGATTACACTAAAAATTATGTAACCCAATATATATTTTTTATATAAATGATGTATTATTTTTGAATAAAAACATCAAAATATAAAATTTCATCACTTAAAACATAAATACTCTCTAGGTAGAAGCCTTTATTGGGGGTGAGCAAGCATTCATATTGCAACTAGGTGTCGTGTTTGTTACATATTAAAGTTAAATTATATCTATTTGGTGCTTTAAGTCCAAGCTAGATTTTTGTTCCGCGTTTTATTATTGTTTTATCTATAGATGGATTGATAAGTTTTTTTTTGATTTGATGATATAAAATGTTCTTTTCTAATATAACTTTCTAAAATTATTGTAGATTTTAATTTATTATTATCATCAATATCTATGTAAATGTATTATATTTAATTGTGTAGTTTTATTTTGGAAAACTGATATCATTTAACTATGTCTGGTGACGGGAAGCGGGTCAAACTCGCCCAGCCCGACGCGCAAAGAAAATAAATTTTATCCGTATCCGTCCCACTTAATTTTGCAGATAATCCGCGGGACCTACGGATAATTATTAATAAAAGATAATTATTTTTTATTTTTTTCTAAAAGATAATATTAGATAGTATATTTTTATTTTTTTTTTTATTTTTTTAAAAATAATTACTTTAACTAACTTTAGTATATTTTTGAAAAATAATTTTTAAAATTTTTTTTTCCTATTTTTGCAGATTACCGGAGACCCACAATTGAAATTAGAACAATCCGCATCTGTCCCGCGTAAAATATATTTGACATGCACCCGCACCCGAAACATATTTTTTTCAAATATCGATTCACCCGTTCCGTGGCGGATCGAATGGGGCAGGACCAGCGTGCTAATAATTAAAAGGTGAATTTAGCCAATTAATAAAACCCATTAGTATATAGTTTTTAGATCCAAAATAAAAATTAATTTTATTCATAATATTAAGGGTATTTTTAGAAAACATAAAAATCTCAATAAACGGAGTGATCCTGTTTTAATGATATTGATTCAAGGCATGGTCGGTCCTGAGTCAAGCATGTTAAAACATTTGCCTCAAACCCTCGAAAATTTCAAAAAAAATTATATGTATATGGACCCCAAAAAAATTTAGGCCCCAATTTAATTTAAAAAAAAATTTAACTGAAATTTTTTAAAAATAATCTATGACCCCCAAAATCTGAGGACCTATCCTATTTCAAGAACTCACGGTTTTAACATCTCATACTTTATTGAGTAATTTCCATATTACTCACCCATCTTTCTTTAATTTTTCTTGTGAGAGTAAGAGAGATGTCACAGTTTTGTCTTAGAAACTCATTTGGTTCGGGGTTTCTGGAATGTTAATCTTCATTCTGATATTTATACATACGACATCAAGTTCAATTCGGATCCAAAAACATATAATTTATACATGTGTAGTGTGGATTTTAAGCAAATCTAATTCATTTATTAATTTTGAAGTGCTACTTTTACAAAATTGAGTTTAAAATTTTACATAATTTTTATTTTTTTTTATTTCTAATGTTAAGTTTCCCAACTACATTTGGTTATAGTAAAACTCTTAAATTAAGATTTATCGGTAATATTAGATAGAAGTTCTAATTCGCTAGGCAAACTTAATTTATGAAGTTTTACGTTATATAAAGTTGGTTTGAAAGTTTTACGTTATATAGTTAGTTTGCGAGTTTTTATCGGAAATAAACTTAGTTAGATAATTTTAGGAGAAAATGACTAGAATAGACCTAAAAAAGTTTTTATCACAAATATAGATCTTAACAATTAAAATGACCAAAATAGCACTTAAATGTTTTATTAAATATACATTTATACTCTTGCGTTAACTAATCCTAGATTTTTTGTTTAGAGTTAAGGAGTGGAGTTTTGGGGATAGGGTTTCGAATTTAAAAAAATTAAAAAAACTTAAAATTTTCAAAATAAAAAGTGCTATTTTGGTCATTTTAATTTTTGAGGTCTATTTTTGTGATAAAAACTTAAAAGAGGGTTATTTGAGAGAGTTGCCCTAATTTTAGCATTAAAATCTTTCTTTTTTCTTTTGGTTTAAATTTCTACAAGTCTTGTTTTTATTTTATTCAATTTTACCGCAAAATTCTCAAATTGACAAACTCTCTCTTTTTTTTTTATGAGAAAATGACTAGAATAGACCTAAAAAAGTTTTTATCACAAATATAGACCTTAACAACTAAAATGACCAAAATAGCACTTAAGTGTTTTATTAAATATACATTTATACCCTTGGGTTAACTAATCTTAGATTTTTTTGTTTAGAGTTGAGGAGTGGGGTTTTGGGGATAGGGTTTCGAATTTAAAAAAAATTAAGAAAACTTAAATTTTTCAAAATAAAAAGTGCTATTTTGGTCATTTTAATTTTTAAGGTCTATTTTTGTGATAAAAACTTAAAAGAAGACTATTTTAGAGAATTGCCCTTTTTTTCTGTATCGGGCATATCTATACTATTAAAGCAGGATCCATTGTTAAAATTTTGGATTCTACCCCTAGATTTTTATCACATTTATAAGATAATACCATTATTTATTTTTAGAATCTTAATTAATTAAACAATTTAATATCTCCTATATTTATGGTAACTAATAATATTTCCTATTTTCGTGATTAATAATAATTTTCCTTTTATGAAAATTATGATTTTCTATTTAATTTTAATATCATATTTCCGTGCATCATATTATTTAGCGATTAAAAATTATAAATTATTATTTGCTGTTTCATTTTATCCATAATAATGATATGTCAATTCAATTTGTTTTAAAAACTAAATTTTAGATATAAAATGTGTAAACTTATCATAGGTTATTAATAATGAAAAGAAACTAATATTTTTATATGAATAAATTGTTTTTTTCTATTGCAATTGTTTCATTTTTTTCAAATGACAATAAATTTTTTATTAAAGAAATTACAAAAAATCAATTTTCTTTAATATTAAAAATATGAATTATTTAACAATTTTTTAAAAATATATTATCAGTTTTTATGCTGTTATTTAACGGATCAACGGATATCATAATACAGATTAATAGCGGGTTTTAATATATATACCGGGTTGGCTTAAATTTTAATTAGTAAATTTTTAATTAAATCTTAACTGGATTATATAAAAATTGCCGGATGTACCGATTCAACTATGGATCTGGGTCAAATACGGAAACATTACGTGAAAATCAAACATTATAATAGAAATTTTTTAAATATCAATAAATTTTTTTAAAATTTTCGTGTTTGAATAATTAATTTAAATAAATTTTATTAAAATGGTAAAAATATATCCGCGCTTTTAAAGCGCGGATCAAAAATCTAGTATTCTCTTAAATTTCAAACTTTTTTAAAAGCATAATTATCTGGACCAAATCCCAATGAATATCTTACGAAAACAATATAGACAATTAATTCGGCCCAAAATTTTCTAATAAGGCTTAAAGCATAATCCTGTCTCCGCCAAATATCAACTTAATTCCTGGCAGAACTCGAACCCAGACAGACTGGTTTACGTCTTGCTCCAAATTCTTCTATAATCAATCAGTAGACTACCACCACTTAATTTCACTCTCTTCGTGGTGTATCATTCCCTTGATTGGATGAGAGATGTTAAATCCGGGTGATAGAAGAGGATCCTAGTCAGGTGTGGTTAGTGGCTCGGCGAACTCGACCAGTTTATGGGGGATCATTGAGTTCTGGTCGTGGACGATGACCAACATGTCTCACGATCCTAGAACACCAACAATGGTCAAAAGACCGCATGGGGTTTACTTAATAGGATATTAATATTTTATGTAACTTAATTATCTGAATAATTTTAAATTAAAAACAAAATTGAACAACTAAAAAGACAAGCTCTGTAGAGAGTTTCTCATGAATAGTATGAGTCTCTCATTAAAGAACTAGTGCTGTATTTCTTTCCACTTTTTTACTTTCAGTTATTTTCTGTTTTTTAATACTTTGTATCACCAATGCTGGTACTCTTAGGATGCTTTATTAAAGGTTTAATCTGTTTTTTATTTTCGCTTTTTAATCTGAGTTTTTATTTAAGGTTTCATGGTCGTTCTTGATGATTTCGTGGTCCAATTTGCGAAGTCTTTATTCGTGGATACATTATGAATACACAGTGGTTGACTAAGCCAAAAATAGAAATACAATCTTTGAATTTGACTAGAAAATCTCACCAAATCACTGTTAGATTCAGAGTATATATATAAGCTAAGTGTTCTGTTCCATATCATCTGTCAAAGAATTTGATTTTTTGTTGTGTTTCATTTTCAAGAGATCCTTCTTTCTCGATGCAGAACGTCTCCGAACATTCTGCTAGTCTTGAAAAGACAGGTGGAGGAGACATGCAACAACTAAAGGAAGATGCTGACAACAACTCTTTCTCAGCTAATTATTGGAAGAGCTCGAGGAAGCGCAAGCAAGAAAAAGCATACGAGCAAAGTGGTGATGATGGTAAAGAAGACACTTCAAGTTTGAAGAAACCACGTTTGGCTTGGTCTGTTGAATTGCATCAACATTTTGTCGATGCAGTGGAACAACTCGGCGTTGACAGTAAGATATTATAAAATAAACTTGTTTGGTTATGCATTTGTATTTTCTTGTCTAATCTTTTACCTTAATGCAGAAGCTGTTCCTAAGAAGATCTTAGAGATGATGAATGTACCGGGGCTAACGAGAGAAAACGTAGCCAGTCACCTCCAGGTATAAGATATGTGTACTAGATAGTATTATTATTTTTCCTCGGCTTACCAACACTTCTTACATTGTTGGTGTTGCAGAAGTACCGGATGTATCTAAGGCGGCTTGGTGGCGTATCTCAACACCAAGGACATACTAACCATTCGTTTGCGTCTGCTCAAGATCCAAATGTTGGTCCTATTTCTACGTTGAATGGGTTTAATCTTCAAGATTTAGCTGTTTCGTGTCAGCTCCCAGCTCAGAGCCTCGCACAGCTTCAAGCATCTGGCTTTGGTCGGCCTTCTTCTTCACTCACTAAACCTGGGATGTCCGTTTCCCCTCTTGTAGATCAGAGAAGCGTCTTCAGATTTGAAAACCCGAAAATAAGATTTGGACATGGACATGGACATGGGCAGAGGATGAACAGTGGGGGTGGTGGTAACGAGCAGATGCTACACGGTGTCCCAACGGATCACATGCCCGTGCAGCAGCAACAACAAATCGCTAGTCAAAATGTTCACAGAAGTGGAATGCTGATACCTGTTGGAGGAGGAGGGTCATCAATTCTACCGTCCCTCGAACAGCAACAACAGATGTTTTCAAGCAGCGGTTCAAGGAGAAGCGATCTCACTGATGCTGTGGTGGTTAGAAACAGTATCCCGGAGAGAAGAAGCAGTAGAGTGTTACCAACTACACACTCGGTCTTTAATAACTTCCCCTTGGATGTGCATCGAAACAGCATTCCGTTGGCAAGTGCACAGGGGGTATCAGTTCCCTACCAAGAAGGACTCACTAGTTCAGCTGCTACTGTGACTACTACAGGGTTTGGTCTGAACGATTGGGATATGCCGAATATCGGAAAGTTCTTTAATTCTCATCAGGTCACATCAGCAGCAGCATCCGTGGAAGCTTACTCGTCGTCTTCCACTCAGAGAAAAAGGCTGGAAGCAGATCATGTCCAGAGCCACCACCAGCAACATCAGCCTGCTCCAAGCCGAAGCCTGAATCAAATGAACCAGGATGACATGAATGATGGTTCGTTTAGAGTGAAGTCAGAGAGAGTGGTGGAGACGGAAACTTTTCCTCCAGCAACAACACTTTTTCACGAGCAGTATAACCAAGAAGATCTCATCAGCGCACTTCTCAGTTTTGACGGATACTCCATCGATAATATTTCTGTCTGACTCTTTTAGAGTAGACTGCAAGGTTCTTTGTATTTCATCTTCTTCCATCAGTCTTACATAAAGCATGAGACACTCGGGTTCTTGATCATCTCATTCACCACAAATTACTAGCAATGTTTTTATTGAGTTTTGGCACATTTATATAAAGGTAGTATGCACACACATCAGTGATTACTAATCAGAAACAATACAAAACTTGTAAGCATATCTTCGTAGTGCCTTTATTAAACCTTCTTCCACCTAGGTTGCATAGAATCAGGAATGAATATGCAAAATCGAAATATGAAAACATACACTACAAGAAAACTAAGCATTTAATATGAAATTTTAATAGGAAAAATCTTCCTCGTAAAGTTACTAAGCATTTACTAGGATCTTACGAGGAAAGTATATTTCCTCGTAAGATCCTCGAAACCTTACGAGAAAATATTTTCCTCGTAAGACCTTAGTAAATTTACGAGGATCTTACGAGGAAAAAGTACTTTTCCTCGTAAATCCGTAGTAAAGATTTTCCTCGTAAAGGCGTAGTAAAATGTTACTACGAAATTAGGAGGAAACAGTTTATTACTACGAAATTAGGAGGAAATGGATAGGAAATATCGAATTTAAATAAAACACATGTTTTTGTACCTACTTTTCCTAGCAATTTCCTAGTAAATGCTCAGATTCGAAAATTTCTATAAATACCACCTTATGTGATTCATTTGAAACACACCCAAAAAATCAGCTATAAGCTTGATCAAACACAAAAAAATGTCCGGTCGAGGAAATATTTTCGAGTTGCGGCAGTGGATGTATTCACACAGAGATAATAACGGGAGGGTGACGAACGATTTCTGGAAGGGTTGGAGACGTTCATGCATCAAGCAGATTCTACATCACTCATGCAGGAAAGTGGTAAGATGTTCTGTCCTTGTCGGAAATGCTGCAATAGCAAATTAGGCCCTCGTGAAAATGTTTGGAAGCATTTAATAAATAGAGGTTTCATGCCATATTATTATATTTGGTATCAACATGGAGAAGATGCTAGTTGTAGGAATGAAGGTAGCAGTAGTAATCAGGTTGAACCGGTTGATCATTTGCGT